CCCTGGACCCACAACAACGCCCCCTCTGCCCGTTCTCCGTCGGCGTCCGCACTGTTTCTTCGGGTCTTCCCTACTTTCCTTCGTCAAGAGAAATGCAACTATAACCTGCGCTATCACGTCCACACGCCCCGCCCTCACGCCCGCACGCCCGCGTGTACATGTTAGGAAAGCTCTACCTTGTCGGCTTTGGCCTCCCGCGTCCTCCGTGTGAGTGTCGACTGCGGCGGTAAAGGGGGTGACTGTAGGGTATTAAGCAGGAGGTTTTCTTACCTTGTGAGTCTTAGGGGTGGAGAAGGGAGAGGGAGGGGGGTGGGGTTTACCTGCTTTACTCCCAATCGCTGTAGCATCTCAACCTCCCCTCCCCCCCCTCTTGGTCTCTCTCTCTCTCTCTCTCTCCCTCTCTCCTCTCTCTCTCTCTCTCTCTCTCTCTCTCTCTCTCTCTCTCTCTCTCTCTCTCTCTCTCTCTCTCTCTCCCTCTCTCTCTCCCTCTCCCCCCCCCTCTCTCTCGCCTTCCACCTCCCCCTGCCCACCCCCCCTCGCTGTCTCCCGGGTCCACTAAGCCAGGGTTTCCTCCTTGCAGGGGCGGCGTGACTCGGAGGGCGCGGGCGTGCGGTGCCCTGTCTGCGGCCGCTTCATCACGGGCGTCAACCGCAAGCAGAATCTGGAGCGCCACATGCTGACTCACTCGGGCGAACGGCCCTTCCGTTGCCCTTACTGCCCGCACGGCTCCAACCGCGTCGATAACCTCAAGCTCCACATCCGCCGCGTCCACCTGCTGCCTGCCTCCACCTCGACCACTTCCACATAGCTCTTCGCCTTCTGTGTCCCTCCTGATGCCCCTATCCGGTTGCCACCCTTCCTCTTCCACTCTGCCACCACATCCCAGTAGCTGCCATTCCACCCCTCCTCTCCTGCTGCCACCTAACTGTCAGCCTCCTGGTTCCCCTTCCTGTTAAGAACTCCACCCACTCCTTTCCACTTCTCACCGCCGCTTCCACTGGTTTAATACTCGCGTCAATTTTCTCCAGAACGACATGTACCTCTTACATCTTGCATATGTCAATTACCTCCACACCTCCACTTGATCCACAACAGCATCCTCTATTGTCCATCCCTCGGCACACTTCACCTTCACTACCTCTGTTGCTTCCACTTCCGGAATGCCATATACCATCCTCTCCCCCCTCCCCCATGCATCGCCACCCATCACCTTAACACCCACCTTCGATTTTACGTCATCTCAAAGAGCATCATGATTTAACTTTTTTTCTAGTCTCGTCTCCTGCATTATTACCCATTCTACTTTATCCCTCTCTTCCTCTTCCCTCTCCCTCCCACCATCCCTCATCTTCCCCTCGTCCATCCTCCTCTTCCAGTGCTAAAAGTCTTTGATAATAACCAGTGAAAAGATTGATCATTGAAGTATCCCAAACTAAATAGCTGCCACCATTTCCCAGTGACCAAATCCGTACTTTGTCCTCGTGGTGTGGAAAGTAGATGTTATTACTACATAGGTACCTGATTTTCTCTTTTTTTGTTGTTGTACAATTAGTCCAGCATCTTCAGTCAGTCCCATCTTAGTGTAGATAATGTGCAGGTTTTATTTATTATGTGAAACACGACTCTGCGTTTTGACTTTGTGTGTGTATGTGTTTTGCTGTGTTTTTACCGTGTTAGTTCTTGCTTGGCTTCCTCCTACTTGTTCTTTTCATTTTCTTCTTTCCTCTATCCTCATCTTTCTCGTCCTCCTCCTTCGCCTTTCCCTCTTTCTCCCCCTCTCCCTCCTCTCCCCCATCTTTCTCTTCCTCCCCCTCCTCCATTTCTTCTTCCTTTTCCTGCTTCTCCTGCTTCCTCTCCTCCTCTGCATCCTCTCTCCCTTCTCTTTCTCCTTCTCCTCTGCTTCCTCTCTTCTTCCTCTCTTCTTCCTCTTCCTTCTCCTTCTCCTTCTTCTTCTTCTTCTTCTTCTTCTTCTTCTTCTTCTCCTCCTCCTCCTCCTCCTCCTCCTCCTCCTCCTCCTCCTCCTCCTCTTCCTCCTCTTCGCACTCCTATTAACTATTATTAATTTTGCTCCTTCTTCCTCCCACTCCTCCGTTTTCTCTTTCCATTCTTCGCCATTTTTAAAGCAGTTCAAATGCCAAATAACATATAGTACAGCTATTTACAAAGACAAGACTTGTTATATTTGGATGAATATTATTTAGAATTCTCTCGGTGTAATTCGTTGTAAGTCACTCTATTGTTATTGTTATTATCTGCCATCATTATCATTATTATTTTATTAGTATAATTATTATTGATGTTAATTACTGTCATCATTATTAGTGTCATTATTATTGTGATCATTTATGTTATTGTTGTTATTATTGTTATTATTATTACTGTTATTATTATTATTATTATTATTATTATTATTATTATTATTATTACCATCATCATCATCATTGCAGTAATTGAATTCCTATTCACGTTTCATGCATTGTTTTGTCTTTATGTTTACATGTTTATGTTTTTTATTTGTATATATGTTTTTTATTCAGATTGTGGAAAATATTTAGGATATTCGCCAAAGAATTTTCTCCCCCTGAGGAAAGAAGTATTGAAAATGGCAGGCTTTTTATTTTTATTTTATTTTATATATATTCATTTTTATGAAATCTTTATATATATACATTTTAATGTAATATTTTTTATCTTTGTTTGTTATCACTACGTGCTGAATCCTTCATTTTGTTTATTTATTTTTATTATCATCATTTCATTTAAAATATATTTGTTGCCTGTATTGTTCTGACACGACAGCTATTACGGATGAATACAGAGTCTCATGTTATTCTGTTTGCAATAATATGTGTGAACAGTAGCTCCGTGTTGAGAGTAAAAGAAAATAAATGTGTTTTTGTACCATTTTTATAAGAAGGTGAATATGGTTTGTAATAGCGTAACTTCGGGAAAAAAAATCTTTTGTGTTGGATGTATATTTACTGCCTTTCTACCCTCAAAAAGTATTTTGTATATTTTTTGAATTATAAAAGATACCCATCCCTAAAATATGATTGAGAAAATTGGTCTCTATGTTCATTTCTTTGGAACCAGTTCCCGCAATAAACACAAATCTGAATAAAATGAGAGGCAAGAAAAGATAAGAAAAAAAGGCGCAGAATATCATTTACGGACACTTTTTTTTTTTTTGCTCCGAGTGGATAGAGGAAAAATCCGCCATTATGCATTTAAAACATTTCTTGAAAGGAATACTCAGTGTTATTTACGTGAATCTGGAATGTTAGGTAATATTTCCATGGAAGAAGATCCACTGTTATGTTTACAAATATTTTGTCTGTATTTATAGATATAATGTCTTTGAGAGTTTCCAAAAGTTTATGCTTGTGGAAGGTATCAACATTTTATGCAAGCGAAATGTTTTTTTTATGCTCTTGAAAATTTACAATATTACATTTTCACAAAATTCTGAAAAAAATGTTTGTGAAAATTCTCTGTGAAAATATACCTTATCTAAAAGAGTAAATAAAAGCAAATAAAACAAAAAGTTGTAGCATTGCTTACATCTCCGTCGAATTCCTGTAAAGGAGATGTCCTCCCCCCCCCCCTCACCTCTGGCCTCTTTCTCGCCCTCCTCTTCCTCGTCCTCTTCATTCTTCCTTTTTCTTCTCCTCTCCCTCGCCCTCCTCCCCCTCTTCTCCGCCCTCTTCCTCTCCTCCTCCTCCTCTTCTCCTCCTTCTCTTCTCCTCCTCCTCTTCCTCCTCCTCCTCTTCCCCCCTCTCCTCCTCCACCTCCTCCACCTCCACCTCCACCTCCTCCCCCTCTTCCTCCTCCTCCTCCTCCTTTCCCAAAACAGAGGACGAGCATGCGCACAATAGCAGTCATTTGTTACCTGATTTTAGCGTGTAAGAGACGGGGTCGCGGGCGGGATGGGATTTCCCCTTCGGCCCGTGGCTCCATGAACCATTTTTTGGGTTTTGTAAATAAAATAAAATGTGATTGTACAGTTCCGTTTGTTCTTTCCATACCCATCCCAGTTCTGTTTTCTTACCATTCCATTTTATTTTATGTTATTTATTATATTTTATTTATTTATTTATTTATTTTTTATTTTTTTATTTTTTTGAGAATTTGAAGTACATGCGTACCTTGAAACATGAATGGACAGATCGCGACAAAAAATCAAGGCTTGTGTTTTTCGTCTATTACTTCTCGTTCCATTAAATTTTCTTTTAATTCTCTCTCTTTCCTTTTTGTTCTCTTTTGTTCTCTTCTGTCTGTCTCTCCGTCTGCCTGTCTCTCTCCATTTATCTCCCTTTCACTCTTTCATTCTCTCTTTCTCTCCGTATCTCTATTGTCATATGACTGTGAGTGCAAAATGTAAGCAGGAAAGGAAAACCGGGAACTTGATTCTTGAACGCTGAAACTTCATATTATTTCCTAATTTCTGGGCTGAAGTCGAGGTCGGTGACGCCATGGAGTGCGCGTCGCTTCCCTCGTCCGAAAAGGTACACGCCGACTAAAATCCCCTTTATTTATCCTTTTTTTGTTTTTCTTTTAAGATTTGTTTTTGTTTGGCCTTCACGGTAGTTGACCTGAGTTCCCCTTCCTTGCAGAGCCGCGACGCGCCCGGAGGCGTCGCCACGCGGGGCGCCTGGCCGCGCCTCGGCCACAGCGCCCTCCCGCTGGTCGCCCGGGGCGGCGGCGGCGGCGTGGCCTTGGGCCTACTGGAAGGGGCCGCCGCCAGTTACGGGGACTCCTCCTCCCCCCGCCGCAGGAGGACGCCGCTCACCGAGGGCGAAATGAGCTCGGCGCTGCACTGCCCCGCGTGCGGCAAGGTCTTCGCCGGGAGCAAGCGGCGCTACCACCTGGAGCGCCACCTCATCACGCACACGGGCGAGCGGCCCTTCCCGTGCCCGCGGTGCCCCTACAAGGCCAACGTGCGCGAGAACCTGGCCAGGCACGTGCGCCATCGCCACCCCGACGCCGCCTTCACCAAGGAC